CCTGCATCAGAGTGCCCACAGTCAATGCACCAGAGAGGAACTCCCAAGAGCACACTTCAAAAACAACCCCAGAGCTACCAAGAAATTGCTGGAATAGAAAAAAATAAAATCATAGGGAAAAGAGGGGGAAGATGAAGGCTCAGGGCTAACTGGTTCTACGAGGAAATGAGCACAGATGTATCAGGACTGTATGCTGAGGCTGTTTTTAGTTCTCTTGAGAACAAGCATGCTCTGTGAAAGGAAGAAAGCACTCTTTCCTTCTGCTTACCTAGTTTTAGAAGTATTTATTAATTATTTGAAAAAGCCTCTTACTCTTATTCAAACAAGGACATCTGAGTTTAGTCCAGTATCACCCATGCTGGGTCCTAGCATTCAACCAACTATTTTCTCACCTCCTTTTAGCTGAACAACTGTCAACCTGTGTCCTTTGCCTGTAAAGTGGACAGGTGGGAAATACTGATTCCTGGCTGTGGAGCTGTGACCAGCCCTGTCACAGCCTCCTTGCACTTCATTGCCCCTTCCAGCTCACTGCTAACTGACTACCTTAATAGTACCTGACCCTGTAATCTCGTTAAGTGCTTCATTTACATTGTAAGGTGATTTTTCCATAGCCACCTTTGAGTCTGAAACTGATAGTTTTATTTTCATGATTGATTTTTTAGAAGAATCAAGGCAATGTTTCCTATGTCCTTCCAAAAAATGACATGTAATAGACTGATAATATTCAGAGTAGAAATGAGACCGTAGTCAGTGTGTTTGAGGGGATCTCCTCTCCCTCCTGGGAGCTCACTTTCTCTGGCCCATGGAAGTATGGCAAACCAAGGGGACCGGTAGATGGCCTTCCCAAGGAGTGACCTGGCTGCTGCTTCCCTTGTCATAGCACAGTTCAGGCCATCTCACAGTATGACTACAGAAAGCCGTTTATGGAACAAAACACAGAGACTTTTTAAAGACAGAACAAAACAGTATTTACCAGTCTGCAGTTTACTCTTTGTGCCTCATGTGGCGTCCTGAGCCCAGTGGACACTCCATGAGGACCAGCTTCATTCAGCTTAACAGGCACATCCGTTGGAAATGAGGGAAGATGGAAGGTGCCTGAGTGTGGGGTTCTTTAGCTGAACACTCACTTATGCATGTGGATTCCACGTATTTCAGCTATTTTTCTTTAATCTTTCACTGATCATTTATTCCTTACATGGCTTTTGGTGGCTTTAATACCGACAAGGAAGGTAGAAATTATCGAAGATGAGATAATGTTTAGGAAACTGTAAGAAGCTAAAGAATCTCACTATTAGTACTCATTTCAGTGTGAGAAAGATACTCTGTGTTTCTACGTGTATGATTTTCAGGATCCCATAGCTGGGCTAACTAACTGCATGCTGTCAAAAGTTTCTTTGGAACAAAGCTCTGTGGCTTCATGGTATTTTTTTTCTGGGTACCAAATGTTTCTAGAAACAGTATGTCCTTTTTACCTTTAAGCTCAAGGGAATTCGATATTTTGTTTTTTGTTTTCTATTGCCTCATGGAAATTAGGTAGGAAGGTTAAATAGACTTAATTTGTGCATAACTGAATTCCAGATGGATTTGGTCATTTGCTCAGAGCCAAGGCAGGGATCACGAAGGTGTCTGGGACTGTGTGTCTTCCTTCACCCATTCCCTGCAGTCCACTAGTGGTGCTTGTGCCTTAGCCTCCCAGCCCCACACATCTGTGTTTGTCCCTTGGCCTACCTGCTGTCCTTGTTTCTCTGCCTGCCTTCAGCCACCTCACACTCTCACCTCACCTATCACTCTGGAGCCACTAAAGCTGCCTCTCTCCAGGCCTTTCACGTGGGGCCATGGAACCATGGGCAGACCACAAGCACTGCACCTTGACCCACAAGTTCCTGTTCCTTTGTGACTGAGCTCCACTCCCTTCTCAGTTGACTTATTGTCCAGCTTCCCTCTGATTATGCTCTGACTCTAGCCATGTTGAATTACTTGCAATCTGTGCATGTCCTATATTCCCTCCCAACCCTGTGCCAATAACATCTTCCCTCTAGCTGGTGTCCCTTCCCCCATCCCGTGTTCTCTGCTCCTACTTTCCTTCAAGACTGAGTTCCAAGTGTCCTGGAAGCTTCCCTGATGTCTGTATCCCGCACCCCCACCCTGAAAGGCACTTTGGGGCATCCTTGCTAGCATACTAGATAGTGTCTGTGGTGTTGATCTTTTTTCTGTCTCCCACATGCCTCTGAAATGCTCTGAGTAGGGACTATGTGGTATTAATTTCTTCTATCTTGAGCTGACCTATGGTTGATATTCAATAAATACCCACTAGTTAAAGCATAGTAAAACCTCAGCTTTCTTGATCCTCAGTGAAAGATTCTTTATTAGACTATGGTAAGCATTTAATGAATAATAATAGCCAATATACTAAGCACAGACACTCCGGGCCCTGCTCTGAGCTCATTACATGTTATTTACTCATCATATCCTCACAAAACATTCATAAGTGCATTTGCAGATGGTGAAACTGAGGCATGGAGCCCTTAACTGAGCAGCCCAAAGGCATAGCTTCAGTTGCCAGGATTAAAACCCAGGCAGAAATCACATTCAGTATAATACATGTTATTCCTGGTTTCTGTTTCCAACGTGATCTGGTATTATGGGTAGAACACCAAAGACATCTCAAAATTTTAACACATACTAACTCATATATGTCTGGACAAGGGAGAAGAGGAGGGCTGGGGAGGGATGCTGATGTTGATTTATAAACCAATTCAGATTTTACTATTCTTAATGTTTTAATAGAAAATAATTTACACTGAAATTCAAATTGAAAAAGATGGTAAATACTCTGAATAACTTTTGTGTTATTAATTTGTTTCTTCGCCCCCAAATGTTAAGGGGGTACAAATAACTTTATTACATGGATACCTTGTATAATGCTTAAATCAGCGGTTTTGGTATGCCCATCCCCAGAATAGCGTTCATTATATCCATTTATTTAGTTTTACATTACTTTTTAGGTATTTGCAGGTATTTTAAAAAATATTTTTATTTTTCTCTTTGGGGTTCCAAAATGCCACAAAAATCTGTATAACTGCCACAGTTTTCAGAGGGTTCTTATATTGATGCCCCATATTTTACAGACTTCTTGGGAAGCTGATAAACTACCCAGACTGGAGGATACTTCATGTCCTCAGCACATGCCACACTCCAGAGCCTTTTAACAACTCCAGCAGGCCTTAACCTAGTAGAGAGAAAATATTCCTTGTAAACTCCTTTATTAGGTGGTAAGCTGTTTTGTAAATGTAAACTTAAGGATGATGACTTTATCTCCTTCCACATTTTATCCCATAGAGCAGTGGTTCTCCACCTTCCTAATGCCACGGCCCTTTAATATAGTTCCTGTGGGTCATGACCCACAGGTTGAGAACCGCTGTCATAGAGTGTTGCAGAACCAACCCACAATAGCTATGTAGTAAATACTTATAGAATAAATAAATGAATGATGGTCATGGTACTAATAAGCTCTAGGAAGCCAGACAAAAGCAACTTATACAAGGACTTATCACCACAGCCACCCACATAAAACACAAGCATGTGTGTGAGAACGCTTTGTGGAGTAGTATGTACTTTGCAGTTTTAAGTCCAAAAAGTATGAGGAACCCCCAGAGAGAAATGCACTAAAAAACTAACAAATATGGAGGCCTAGTAAGCCCAGGTGGATGTGTGATCTTTCATAGACTCAGTCTTTATGTAAAATACTCTGTAAAATAAAGATCTACAAATAAGTTCAAGAAAAATAATTCTCACAGAAATGATAGGGCAAGGAAACTTTGCCTGTTGGACTCATTCTTAGGTCACTTAATGGGCAGAGGGATGGAGGAAAATGAGTTTTGTTAGCACTTACTCTGAGAGGCAGTGTTATAGGGACGTGGCAGTCTCATTACTCCCCATTTTACAAATGAAGCAACTGAAGCCAGAGACAGTAGGTGCCTTATAGGAAGACGCACAGCTAGTAAATAATGATTCCAGAGCCCTTGCTCTGTAGTTAGAGTGACACCAAAAGAAATCCTTACCATAACAAACAAAAAAGTGAAACATGCAAAAAGCCCATACCCTCCCTCAGTGGAAGACTCTTCACGGCTTATATTTTGCCAAAAGTTTCTATTTCCTCTGTGCCCGGCCTGGATGTAAACATTGGTAAATCACTGCCTGTAATTGTGATTTTTTTTCCAGGCAGTTCTAGATAAATGCATGTATATATGTTTAGCCTTACTAATCATCAAATAACTATAAACCAAATAGAGATTTTTTTCACTAAGCTAATTAATAGTTTATATTTAGATTTAAAACATCCATGTTGGCCAAAAGACAGTAAAGCCTAGACTTACTATTTGCCGGTAAGAGGGTAAAATGTTTTTGTAAACCAAAAGTCCCATTTTATATTTAAGGCTTTAAAATATATGCCCTTTGCCCTAGGAACTTTACTAGCAAGATTCTATCCTGTGAAATAATCTATAGAAAAGACATTGTGTACATAGATACATGATCATATATTAAAATGTAAAGACTTTTTTATTTTCAATTGTACTGAATAACTTTTTAAATTTTTATATAATACATTTAAGTACAAGAACACTCCATTTTTACATAGCTCTTCTTTTTTCTTCATATTAAAGTATCTTGCAATATTGATAATATTTGCTGATTTACACTTGATAACTATTTTTTTGTCATTGCAAGTTCACACAAAAGTACACAGAGTAAACCCTGGTTTTGGGCAAAGATGTTTCTGGCACAACCCATTGCTTTCATCTAGCTTGATAAACGCTACTGCGAACTGCCAGGCACCAGAAAATGTAAACTGTATTATTAACATCATTTTTGTTAGAAATGGTTAATAGTTGGTTATTAAATAGATTTTTTTCCTTTACCTTTTACTTCAAAGCTTAGGCTTTCAAAGTTTTTCTAAACTCAAAATAATTTATTGAAAAAGCAAAATATCTGGTACTTACATTTCAGTGAGTTTTTCAGTTCTCTCTGTAGTAGCTGTCAGTGTTTGCCCAAACTGAAGTAAGTTAACTGTGGCATGTTGTTTTAAGAGAGACTGTGCAGACATCCTTTTATGGTGGTGACTTTTTTTTCTGTCACCCTGTGACTGAGCATATAATGATCAGTTAGCCTCATGTACGTGTGTGCACTTTTTAAAAAATGGGAAGTGAAATTTTTTTGATAGTGATTAAAAAAAAAAACAACTACCTAAAAGTCCCATGGAATTTATGAATTACTGACTTCTGTGGAACTTCATAAACTTTTCTGTAAATAAGTATCAAAAAATTCTTTGAAAGAAATTAGAGTAGTAAACTTTAACCCCCCCAAAATATCAGAGTGACTGATGATTTTACATTGACATTCTGAGTAAAAGTATGGGTTTTAAAATGTTTTAAGGGAAAAAAAGGTCAACTTTGACAGTTCTGACTACCTGGAAACAGTATCAGGGAGTAGTTCACCCATACTTTTACCTTATCAGCAGCTCCTGAGAAAGACACCGGTGAGGAGGAGAATGACGCTCTTTGGCATGTGGTCTGGATTAGTCGTTTTCACGCAAAAGGCTGACTGCATCAGTGACGGGGTGGACACATGAGTAACAGTGAAAGATTCAAAGGAGGCACATTGTAGTAAAATCCAGCCTCTGGTGTGCCGGATGAAGGACACCTCCTCTGCCACTTTACAGTGCCAGTTGACTCCATTGAAACCAACAGTGTAACATGACTGTCAAAATGCAATTTATTTGTAGACGAAATTTCTAGAAATAATAGCGCTCAGACCAAGAGAAGTGATGTATACATTTACCCAGGACTGATACTGGCCATTCCCCTTCAGTTCTGGGTGCTGCTGTGTTTTATGAAAGGCAGAGATGACTGAGATTATGCCTGCATGTCTAAGGAGTGATGGGAATAGGAATACTCAGGCTTTGTGGGAAGGTGATTATTACTCTTGTGAATTCAGAAACTCTCATGGGAAAGGGTTTAAATTGCTTGTATCAGTCTTCCTAACTCCAGAGAATAGGAAGTTACTGGATATAGCTTTCAGACCCAAAGGTGAGAGTGCTTCCCGAAAGCTGGATCATTTTAAAAAATGGAAAATGTTGTTTCTTAATTATATGCTATGTAAACTGATGATTTTGAGGGATTGTATTGACAGAATTAAATTTGTAACACTGTGACCTTGGAGGTCCTTCTACCCTAGGATTCTATTAAAATACTTGAGCAGCTTTAGCCTCCCAGTGGTGCCTTTACTTTCTTCCAGCCTCTGTAGTGCTCAGAGTCTGCAGAGGAGCATTGTCAAACAGAAGGAAGAGTAAGTCAGCTGGATTCTTTGGGCCTCCGCTTTGCTGTCTGTAAAACAAAGGCATTAAGCACAATGATCTCCAAGATCATTCCTAGTACAAAAATTCTATGAGGTGATAATACAGAGATTTTTATACTTAGTGGATAAACATGCCATAATATTCCGGGACTACTTTATTTAAAACTTGGACTGAAGAAAAGAATACTTAAAATTTTTCAACAGTGTCTCTCGAGAAATTTTAAGCATTCTTTTCCTTTTCTATAAAAGAGGTGAAAGGGATATTTTCAAACTGAACTGAGTCTCTGTTTCGTTTGTTCTGTCCAATACAACCATGACCACGTACATGTAATAGGTGCTCAGTAAATATTCGTGATTTTAGGTAAAGGATGAGTGAATTCTTTCCTTTCTATACTTCTAACCTCATCTGCTTACGCCAGAGATGGCTTCCAGAAATTAGTTATTCACAATTTGAGAAAGATCAAACTGGATTGTTGGCAATTTGAAGAACAGATGTTTTCATAAAATAAGGAAAAGAGAAAAACTGGTCCATGACTAATAACATTATGGTATTTTATGAAGTCTATAGATATATATAAATAGCAGTGGAAAATTTCTACAGAACAATCTATATAATTCTGGTCTGAAATATGTGCTTTTGTGTTATGCATATATGTGGTCTAGTATTTAGTCATCATTTAAAATTATATAGTGATTCATAACTTTTAAGGAATTTTTCACTTCTTCTATTGGTGTTTATGATATAAACTGTGGTCACTAAAATTCCTATCAATCTGTTTTTACCTTACATTGAAATATAACCTCAGGCTTGGCGCCTATAGCTCAACCGGCTAAGGCGCCAGCCACGTACACCTAAGGTGGCGGGTTCGAATCCCCAGCCCGGACCGCCAAACAACAATGACGGCTGCAACCAAAAAATAGCTGGGCGTTGTGGCGGGCGCCTGTGGTCCCAGCTACTTGGGAGGCGGAGGCAAGAGACTCGCTTGAGCCCAGGAGTTGGAGGTTGCTGTGAGCTGTAATGCCACGGCACTCTGCCCAGGGGGACAGCTTGAGGCTCTGTCTCAAAAAAAAAAAAAGAAAGAAAGAAAAAGAAATATAACCTCAAACAAGAACTCTGCATCAGGTTATTTAATTATAGCAACACTATGCTTTATTGCCAAATATCAACAGAATAACTATGATTTAAGTACCTCAAAGAATATGTTCTGTGGAGAGAGCTCCAGTGCAATTGGCTAGCCCTGGTAGAATTTTATTATTCTAAAGAAAACAACAGGCCATATTTTGAGCGTGCATATAAAACTATATGTGTTTCTTGGTTTTTGTTTCTTTTGAAAAAGGATTTCACCCTGTTGCCCAAGATAGTGTGTAGTGGTGTCATCCTAACTCACTGCAACCTCAAACTCATGGGCTCAAACTATCCTCCTGCCTCAGCCCCCTGAGTAGCTTAGGACTGTAGGTACCCACCATCATGCTTAGCTAATTTTTCTTTATGGGGGGGTAGGGGGGCCCACTCTTGCTCAGATTGGTATCATTTTACTTCATTTTCTCAGGTGAAGTCCTAGAAGGGGTTAAGGTTGTATAAGGAGAACCTAGAGCAATGGTTCTCAACCTTCCTAAGGCTGGATGGATTTTCATTGTTACAAAGGGGTCGTGACCCCTGCAGGTTGAGAACTGCTGACCTAGAGTAAGATCAGATATAAGGGAACCCTGGAGAGGGCAGGAGACTAGTGAGAGACCAGCAGCTAGGGACAAAGCTGCAAGACGAGATGAGGAAGGGTTGAAGGGAGGGAGGCAGAAGGTGAGCAGTGGTGGTACTCTGGGGACAGATCACTGGCGAGGCCTGAAGTAAGGCTTTCGAATTTGACGTTGAAGAATTTTAATGCTTGTTGCTTTTGGTTTGTTTAGTTTCTTTCATTAGAGTTTTAGTCATAAGTGGGAAGAAAATGTTGCACCCGCTTTACATTTCCTCACAGGGCCTCACAACTAATTAACAGATGCTGAACCACTTTGCAGTGGTTTGGGAGGGTAAACAATGATGGCTTGCATAAAGTGTTTTATGTAAGTACAAATTATTATGGCATGTTTGGAAACCAACTTGGGTATCAAAGACCACCAAGCTTTCAGGCTGAAGTAGAATTACAAGCAATGTTACTTCGTTGGTACTTTAAATTCACTGTGATAGTGATTTGTTTTTTATTTGTTTGCATAGCCTGGCACCCGTGTTTGCTCTGTTTGTACCATTTTACTGCTCCATACCGAGAGTCCAAGTGGCACAAATTCTGGGCCCGTTGTCCATCACAAACAAGACATTGATTTATATATTGGGACTACAGGTACAGTATGCGTTTTTCTGTTCACATTTCTTTAACCAGATTTTTTTTGTTGTCTTTTTCTCATTTGATCTCCTTAAAAGCAGTGTTTTTTTTTTTTTTTCCTATAAGTCTGGCTCATGATCTGTATCAAATGTTCAAAGGAAATGTTACAGAACAAGAGCATCAAGGTATAGAAGGTACTGGAACACTTTTTCAGTCTTTAGAAATCTGATAAGAGCTTTCACTATAATTTGTATCAATGGAAAAGATTTTCAAGTCATTGTACAATTGCTTGTAAGTATTTTTTAAAAATCATAGTATGAAGTGGAAACAAATGAGAATAGAAGAGTAGAAGGTGAAAAATCAACATGAAATTGATTTATTGAATATAATGTCACAAATAAAGCTCTGGAGAAGAAACTGAGCATTCTTTACCAACCTGAGCTTTGGGGTTTTCAAGTTGGAAACCTTTTCCAACTTGATTATTTCTGTGCCTGTGTAGACTTGATGGTAGTCTATGAAGTCCATTAGAGTACTTACCCTCTGACTTAAATTTGCAAAGATTATCTTTTCCAGTATTCAGTCTTCAATCATTAGTCAACTGATTGCTCACTGCTGGGTTCCAGGCCCTGTGGTAGAAGACACATAGGATTTTCAGTTTTCTCTTTGTACTGTTTGCTGCTTTTCTTTTACTCTCATAGCTTTTGATGTAGTTTTATTCTACGGTTTCCTGTGGTACCATGTGTAGCCTGGCCTTTTGATCCACTGATTAATACTCATAACATTCCTTATCCCACGCATATCAAACCGGATACTAGTGTCGATTCAACATGCCCTCCCCCTCCCCTTTTAACCTTTCGAATTTCCTTTCACTGTCCCAATCTGCTGTCATGTGCTATCAATAGCTCATCTCGGGCGGGCATTTCCTTACTACTTTTATGACTGTTTCTCATGAAATCTGTTTATTCTTCAATCTGTCAACCCCCATGTCATTACACGCCCCCTTATCCTACTTAATATTTGTAATAGCCAAATAGCCCATTTCTTTACTTTTTTCTTATGATTCAGATTACAGAATCCAACTTTTTAAAAATGATTACATTAGAGACAATATGGGATAGTGGGACTGCACCCTGGATCTGGCTTAGGGAGACTCAAGTTCTAATCCTAGTATGGCTCCCACTAGCCTGAGAATTGGGTCAAGTCATGGAACCCCTCTAAGCCTCCTGTTCACTGTGGTTCCTTCCAACTCTAAGGTAGACTCTTTGCAAATGAAAAGCATTGTTTTATTAATTATGGAGTAGGAAATCAATGTGGCATTGTAGGAAGTCTTTGGAGCCACATGGACTTTGGTTTAATGACTTGGTCTGGTAATTATTGACTTTGTCAGTTACCTTTTCTGAGTCCCTAGGTCTCCTTCTATACAATGGGGGTAACAATATCTACCTTATGGGGATATTTTAAGGATTAGAGCTAATATCCAAATAATAAGAGCTAAGTCAATTGGCTTTAATTATTAATAATTAGTTTATTTTTCTATGGCTACCACCACTTGTTTTTTTGAGATTGTGAATGTATGGTGTATTTTTGGGTTTTTTTTTTTAAATTTTTTGGCTTAGAGCAAAATTAGTATGTTTGATCTCTTGAAGAAAAGAGATCCTAGTTGGACAGAGAGACACAGCATAGCCTCTGTCATAGGAGCCTTCATCTATTCCAGCAGTATAATGTACATAAGGCTCACAATGGAAGTGTCTTTTCAGCCCTGCCAAAGGCAGAATGCAGATGGCAACTACCACAGGTATTTTTTCAAAATAATAAAAATTTCTGATATTTTCATAATATTTCCAATGACTCTGTGAGTTAGAAAGTGACATCAGAAAGTATAGATGAAGATGCCTTGTTGGCCTCTTGAAAAATCAAGTCCTCAGCATGAAGGCGTCCAGGGTTCTTATTGCCTGTCCAGTATTAACTCCCACCCCTGCCCAGCTTGAAGCAAGTGTGACAGCTCCTTATTCCTAAAATGTCCATAGTCTTCCCGCGCCCCCCCCCCTCCTCTGGGCCTTCCCCATGTTTCTGTGTTTTCTCTCCCCCACCACAATTACTTGAAGCCAAGGACATGTTGAATGAATGAGTTAATAACTTTAATCATAATCAGAAGACCCAAAATAGTTAAGAGACATTTATGTATCGAATGGCTTGAGAGCCAGTCCTGTCATGCCCTGTGCTAGGGGCTATGGAGGAGGAAATGAAGTATGAGACAGGGTACCTGTCCCCAGGGAGCCCAGCATTGAGAAAGTGAACACATGCTGTCACATAGAAGCAGACACAGTTGGGACCAAACGGGATAAAATGAAGGGCATGATAGTCTGGAGGAAATCATTTCTTTTACTGACAGAATGCTATGCTCTTCTTACTTGTGTACGAGAGGTGGTAGAGTAGGGAGTGTGGGCTGCAGAGCCAGCCTGCCTGGGCACACTCCCAGCCCTAGCACCTACTAGCTGTTGGCCTGGGGCAGATTATTTACTCGCCCCCTTTTACTCTTGGCAAATCAGTGTGTCCAGCATATGAAAGCCTCAAGAGTAATGCTGGGCACATAGAAAGTGGTAGTTTATTATTATTGTTATTTGTATGAGACAACTACAGCAAAAATTTTTTGCTAATAGTATTTGCAATTATCCTTGTAATTATGAGTCATTTACACTAAACAAACACCTGTGCAAGGTCAGCGAGTCCCATTTAAAGTTGCAGCTGGTGCTTATCTCTAGGTGAGCTAGGACTAGAGAGCAAAGCTCTCCAGCCTCTTAATTATCTATCTGTATGTCGTCAGCTCTTGCTCTCTGTGTCTATCTGCTTTCTGTGTGTCCTTAGTAAGTGTGCAGAACGTAGAGATTTTCATCTAGCACAGTGTCTGCAGTGAACTGGGCTCTCTTGGCTGCATATCCTGCTTCTTCCTCTTCTATCAGAAGTGCTTAAACTCTCAATCTAAAGTTCTGATAAGCAGGCCACCAGTCATTTCTTTCCTGCATGATCACTTTGAAATGCCTTTATGGGGTTTTTTTGGGGGAGGGTTAGGTTTTATTTTGTTGTTTGGGGGGGGGCTTTTTATTATCCTGAATACAACTCAGACATAAATGATTTGGAAAAAAAGGAAAAGATTTTATGAAACCTAAATCGAATTACTGTTGCCATTAATTAACTTTTATTATTGTTACTTAGTTTGCTCTTCCTTGGGTGAACTAGAATGAGAATATCAACACTTAAGAAGGGTAGCACTGGACACCCCGAACCAGTTGGCTTCACAGAGTACTTCCCATCTAAATTTAGAGTAACAAGGATACGAAAGTAAAATGAGAAAATTATGTAAATAAATAGCACACCTAACACCAACTGTACGGTGATCACCACATATTTTGTTAATGCTAATAATTTTTATATATACTATTTTATGATACTTTAAGTCAATTAATGCTCATTTATAAATAAAAATATGCTTGAATTTCACTTGTTTTTTCTTTACATGGGTGTAGGCCAAGTCCAACCAATCTGTTTTAAGCTATAGAAAGTCTGAGGTCTTGATTAAAAATAATCATGATAATATGTCTTTCGTTTTAAATAACAATTGATATTTATTAATTTCACTTGTTTATCTATAAAATGGCATATATAGTTAATACTTAAATGGTTATGACTGTAGTTATGTAAAAATAAGTGTGCTGTGATAGCAGTAGAATTTCATTTTTAGTTGCCTTTTTTTTTCTTTTATAGCTTTTCACCTCTGGTTCCTACATCTGGATTGTAGCCATAAGTGGACTTGTAAGTGTGATTCCTTCTTGCTCCCATTTCCCTCTCTCTTCTGAAAAAACAGTAGGAAAAAAGTCATATTTAGTTTGTGGGTCACATTCAACTGTCTCCAACGTTCTTTTAACCATGTCAGGTCTGGTTCAATGCTACTTCCTTAGCAATTAAAAAGGACCAGTCACATGGAAAATTGAGATGGTGGAGACCAGTTTTTCTCAGTTTTTAAGGTAATTTTGATGAAAGTTTTAGCTGAGTTTTTGTTGTGTTTAAATGACAGTAGCAGTCTAATTCATAGGAAGGAAAAATGATGGAAAATGAAGAAGTTTGACTTAATAAAAATAAGAGGATGTTCTGCTTGTTTTCTAAAGAGACAGTGTCATGCAAGGAAAAAAGTAAGGCAAACTGGAAAGTCAGGTGATTGGAGGCAGAAGACTTATCATGGCAGAAGGGCATGAGCCCAAACATTTGGGGTGTCCTCATTCAATGCTGGAATTGTTTCATCTTGCCCATACTCATGCTCTTTTACTTTATCTTAATAATAAACATTTGTCTTAAATTATATATGAGGTATTTAAAAAGAAGTTTAGAGAATAAGGTTGAGTTTTGGTCTTCATTCCTGACTTAAATTCGAATCTACAGATTTAGAAAAACAAATTGATAACAAGTGTGTACAGTTTTAATTTCTTCTTCTTCTTTTTCTTTTTTTTGAGTTAGGGTCTCACTTTGTCACCTTTGGTAGAGTGTCATGGCATCATAGCTCACAGCAACCTCAAACTCTTGGGCTTAAATGATTCTCTTGCCTCAGCCTCTGAAGTAGCTAGGGCTACAGGTACCCACCACAACGCTCAGCTATTTTTATAGAGGAGGTCTCACTCTGGCTCAGGCTGGTCTCGAACCTGTGAGCTCAGGCAATCCACCCATCTTGGCTTTCCGAGTGGTAGGATTACAGGCGTGAGCCACTGCAGCTGGCCCCAGTTTTAATTTCTTCTTAGAAAAGACTAAGAAAATTATAGAATGGATTCATATTAATATGTGTAACATTCAAACATAGGCTCTGGAAACAGCTATGCATTCTATTGCAGACATTTTAAGTTTAAGTTATCACTATTTATTCTTGGGCGAATGAATGGTATTTTAGACCAATGCGTCATCCTTTAAGCCTGCTTACCTCTCTCCTTCCTTTAAGTGATATATTTCATTTCATTCTTTTCATGTAGAACTTGAGTCTTCATTCCCCATAGCTGATGTGCTCCTAGCCAAGTGGTTCTTGGCTTAATGTCACTTTGCCTCCCTAAATATTTTCTCATGTACCCAAATACCTGATTTGCTTCAGGACCACAGAGCCTTCAAAGCACCTGGCCATCCATCTGGTATTCTCAAGACTTGTGGTGGCTCAGGGACATCCTCGGGTCACACTGACTCCTTGGGCCGCAGTTGCCAGGCGCACCCTGATCTAGGCTGGTCTCCACTTGAACTGCCAATTTGACTAATGGTGACTTAACCTGCCTAAGGACAACAAATAGAGAGCTAATTGTTTGATTATGACAGCTGCATGAAGATTTACTGTGTCTTCCAGGGTATATTTTGTTTCATTTAGCAATGTTGGTTTTGAGTCCTTTTTTGAATATTTTCATAAAGCATTCAGATATTAAAGTATCTTATTGTGTACTATTTCATTGTGTTAGTTTGCTATTAATTCATTTGCTCTCAATTATCATATCCTTCTTTAATAGCTCATTATACTTGTTTTAAAACATTCCATTTCTTTCTTGATTCTGTTTTTAGACTCTTGGTTTTAAATTAAGTGCTTGCTGTCACCTCAACAGGTTTCATTTCATGTCATTCCATGCTCTAGAATTGGGGGTGGCATTTTTCATCTCTTTGTAGTCTTTTTAAAATTTAAAATGTACATGTTATGTTCATAGTCTCTTTTTAGTACACATGTTTAACAGGTGATAAGGTACCTGTTTTAACGTTTTAAAAGTAATCATAAGTTTAAAAAAGATTTTTTACCATAAAAATCCCTTGTTTCAGAAGAGTGAATAGAACTGCACTGTGTTTGGGATATAATTCCAATGTAATTTAGCATTTTAATAAACATCTCTGTGCCAGTGGAATTTTTCATCTTTTATGGTATTGATTCAGCCAAAGTTACTGAACTCCTGCCATAATCAGAAATTTGATAAATCTTCATGTTAATCTTGTTCGAATTGGATGACATTAACATGTTTATTTTTAAATGATTGCTATCAATGATAATCATAGCCAGTCTTCCTACTTGCTATATTATAAATGTTAGTGCTTGATTTGAACTTAATATTTTCTTTCTGACAAATCGATATTTTTATTATGAAGTATTTAGTATGATATGGTATACTTTCAGATGACCGTAAAGGATAATAAAATTATTTGTGACTAATACACACCACTGACTATAGGATCTGAGTCTGAGAATCACAGAGCCGTCGTTGGCCTATTCCAGATGTCTCTTGCGCAACGTGATTTCTCTTCCTGTAGAGATCAAATGACTTCCCTTTTTTTGGTTTTTATGCTAAATTAATTAAAATATTAAAAATATAAAATAAAATTGTTAACTATCAAAAGGGAATACATGGATGGTTATTAAGCATGTTGGGGGAATGTTACAAAATCTGTTGATGAAATTTCACCTTTTAGCATTGAAACCAATATTTCACCTAGGGAATTTTATGTCAATATGACAATTAACTTTTTTTTTTTTTAAAGAGAAAGTGCTGTTTTTATAAAGATACTTGTGTGAGACACAAGTTATTTGTTATCTGCCATCATAGAAACTAAATCTTCACTCATGCTGTTCTGGAAAACTGCCAACTTTGGATTGCATTTATAAGTTACTAGTTGATTTACTTTGGTTAAGCTAGGTTTTATCTCTTTTTGTCTCTCATTCTTACATAATTACAGATGTCTCTGAATATGTAACTTTAAAATATCCAACTGATTAAAAGAGGAGGTTGATAAATTTCATCAGTGCAAATATTTTACTAGATATGAGCCCACTTTCTGTCTTCAGTGATGTCACAGAAAGAATGAGGACTAAGTTATTTTCCTGATTGAGGGAAAACATAATTCTCAGCTTACCAAGAGCAATAAGTTAGCTTGCCTATGACACCTGTCACTCTAAAGTCCCGTTTTGTGATCCAGCAGAGTCTCACTGCTGCCCAGGAAAAGTAAGGGATATTCAGTTGTACTTAAAGATTACTTTGAAACATGTATTGATAAATGTTATTGTGTTGCTTTGTCTCTCCTTTGACAGCTCTGTTTTTAATATAAACATTTAATATTTCAAAAATGGTTATTTCATGAAAAGCTGTAATTGGAAAGCTTGGTTATTATAGCCAAGGTAAATATTTCAGTTTAGGTAAGTAGTTTAAAAGTGTTAATAGGCTCGGCACCTGTGGCTCAAGTGGCTAAGGCTCCAGCCACATACACCTGAGCTGGCTGGTTTGAATCCAGCCTGGGCCCGCCAAACAATAATGACAACTGCAACCAAAAAATGGCCTGGCATTGTGGCGGGCGCCTGTAGTCCCAGCTACTTGGGAGGCTGAGGCAGGAGACTCGCTTGAGCCCAGGAGTTGGAGGTTGTTGTGAGCTGTGATGCCACAGCACTCTACCAGGGTGACAGCATGAGGCTCCGTCTCAAAAAAAAAAAAAAGTGTTAATAAATGCGTGCTTCCATCCTGTTAACACCACCGTGCTCAGATGTACTTAATATCTGATAAGAAACCTTCAAAAACCAAGGCCACTCTTCATTCACAACTCCACCATTCTTATTACATATCAACACTGTACTTTCTTTTCTTCAAAGAGAAGATTGCTTACTTATTGAACATTATTTAAATTCTTTGTGTGTGTGTGTAGCTCTGCAGAGAGCTGTTGAGGCATCTATATTCCAGTACTTCTTCATTTTCTGCAGTTTTATGAACCATAATGAGTCATTACCACTGGGATGTGCCCTGATTCTCAGAAGTTGAGGTCTCAGGCCTGCTCTGATTTGGGCGTGATTAAAATAGAAAGAGCCTGCATTTCCCAGTTTTCTTCTTTTCCACTTCACACGTTTATCATTACTTGGTCCTCTTTTAAGCTATTTGAGAGTCAATTAATAGACCGTATTTCTCGGGCTCCAAGCTTCTTCCTTCAACATAGCCCTTCACTGTACCTGTTTCCTGCAATTGTTACTTGTTCCATACCATGTATCAGACTATGATTATCTTGTGATCAGACAACCTTGGTGTGAAAAAGAATCTGTTCCACCCAATAGTAAGGTTAGAACTTAGATCGACGACTGATTATTTGGGACTTTGAATGTGGTCTGAGTTTAGATTGTTTTCTGTAAGCAGCAGGATCTTCAGTGCTTTTTGAGCAAAAACACTTTGTGATGGTACAAGATTACAGAAGTCTTATGAGGGTTTGTAAATCATAAAAAGGGAGGAGTCAGGACAGCATGTTTGTAGGCTGTGATTTGCCTTTCTTTTTTCCTCTACAGTAGTTTTAAAGACAAAAGAAAAAAAATCAATATCTTAAAGTAACTGTGAAGAAATGGAAATAGCCTAATCTACAGTGGCAGTATGAACTCTTTGGAGTAAGTTTTGAGGCCCTGGATTGCTCCCAGTGAATGATGATGGTGTGTGGGTCTCCTTGCCTCCCCCTGCTTGCTTGGGCACCTCTTTCTTTTCTCTTCTTCTTTTTTTTTTTTTTGCTATTCATCCTTTCTCCCCTTAAATTTCTTTTCCAGATTGACCAAAGAAGGGTACAGGTCAGATAATCCATCTGATGCTCAAGGCATTCAGTTATATTTTAGTGATTGAGATTGTTTTCTAGCTATTCATTGAAAAAGAGGACAGGCCAGGCATGGTAGCTCATGCCTATAATCCTAGCACTCTTGAGAGGCCTGTAATTGTAGCACTCTGTGAGGCCCAGGCGGGTGGATTGCCTGAGCTCATGGATTCAAGACCAGCCTCAGCCAGAGTGAGACCCCC